AAATAATGTGAAAACGTGCGGTGTGATATTAAATTTTTTTTACATCATTAGTATTTCGAAATTTATTTTGAATTTTTAATTAAATATATACAGGACATTTTCATAGTTTTTAACTTTACAATTTTCTTATTCTTTATAATGTTATAATTTTTAATTTTATTATTTTATATATTATTTTATATTGCTTCTGATTCATACAAATAAATTAATTTCGCAATGAATACAAAATCTGTCGCGACTATCTAAGTGCGTAAATTCTTTATCGAAGGGCTCACTTTATCAGGTATTTTTCATTAAAGTGGGTCAAGTGATACAAGATTCTCAGAAGACTATCTATTCATCGTCAATCTAAGTAAGAGGTAACTCCAAAGGTGACGAAGAAGCACAAATGTAACGCTTCTTTGATGTTAGGAAAAATCAATTTTTACATAGAAATTCTCACTGCGATAATCATTAAATTGCTGTTATAATTATTAATGAAACATTTTTAGGAGAAGAAATTTTATTATTTGATTTTCATAATAATATTTGTGACTTACATAAGTGTTGTTTTCGTAGTAGTTATTATTGTTATGCGATATCCAAAGGAAATGGTATTATGCATGAAATTTGCATATTCTTGCAAAACATCTTCGAATTATTAATGATAAACGTTCTCTAACGCGCGTGCAAACGCATCATGAAATGTTTAAAAAAAAAATCAATTACGCATATAATATGTAATTTGAAAATATTTGAGTATTATGTGATCAGATTTTTTTCAACAATAGTTTATTATCATTAATGTAAAATAAATATTTAGCACATTAAAGTTATAGAATTAATAATAAATAACAAAATTATATTCTTCAATTAAATGAAAATTGATTTTATTTTGAACAAAATTTTAATTAACGTCTAGTTTTCGATATATAGCATCGAATAATTACGAAAAGGAATGTCACTCCAACAAATTATTCGTTAAATATGAATTAATAAAAATATTTGAACAATCTATTATTAATAATATCTTAGAATAAATGTGTAAACGATATTACTTACTAATTACTTTAAGTAAACATGATTAATCCATATTATAGATTGCTTTTATAGACATGATTAATTTGAATAAAACAAATAAACAATTTTATCATTAATCATAATTATATCACTAGTTTTTCTGTTTGCTTCGTTGTAGATAAATGGGTTTGAGTGAGACGTAGCATCAAATTATTATGCACAAGAAATTCGAAAAAAATTATTTATCTTGAAAATTGCAAGAATTTTAATTGTATATTTTCCATAACTTGAAATATTCTGAATTTGAAAATACCAATAATCTTGTTTTCGTTTAAAAGAAAAACTCGTTTTGTGGCAATATGAAGAAATCTGATAACATGAGCTTAGAAAAGTCAACAAAATAATTATCATCAAGAAACAGAGTCCAAGTCTTACAAATAATGCACATATCTTCAGTATCATTTCTTGTTTACAGATAGCTCACATGATTACACAGTGCATAAAAAATTTAATAAATAAAATATTGTAAACAATTAATAAATAAATGCAAAATAATTTAAAATATTGAAAATTGAATAGATTCAAGTTGTAAAGTAAAAATTTTCTGTAATTTTTTTTTAAATTGAAGTAAATAACTTGCATTAAAACTTGGATTATCGGCAATGTTTGTGCATCAAGCAATCCCTATCTCACTTATTGTTAGACATAGATTACAGAAATAGATAAAAAAATATTTTCTAACAAACAATCATAATATCAATTTAGGTTTGTTTTTTTTTAATATGCTCTGATATATTAAGCCTAGATTTATTGCAATAAGCTGAGACCTTTTCATGAAATAGTTAATAACAATTTGCATATTTTTTTTAATTGCAATGATAACATTAATGCTTTTTATCTAGATAGAAAAATCGGTTTTTCTTTTTTAAATCAATATTATAAACAATATCATAAGTTACACATATTAAGATTAATTTTATTGTATTATAAATAATGAAAGTTTTATTTTTTATTCGAGAAAAGAAGAACAAAGAAAAACAGTAAAATTAAAATAAAATTAAAATTAAAAGAAAATAAATAAAGAATAAAAATTACCCTCTATAAAAATTCGAAATTTTGCATTGCTTTATTATAATTTAGATACCTTGTTTTATTATAATTAAATACATATTTCTGTCATCATGTTTATAGCTGGCTTTGATTAAAACAATTTTAATTAGTTGAATTAATATTGAACGTACTCGTATAACAGATAATAATATTTATTTGTGTCTGTGAACATGTTTTTGTCATTAAATCTCTATGTACATACCAACATTTCTGCCAGGTTTAACTTGTTAAAATTAAAGATAAGATGTCTTATAATCAGTATTTTTGACGTTCAAGAGATATCGCAATGTATGTTATTTATTTATTATATTTTTTTATTCTGCAACTTTACAGCTGTTTTGTTTTTTTAGATATCTTCTTTATGCAATTGTTATAAGAATATTTTGTCACATTATTAATTAATACTTGTTAAATTAATCGAAAATTTGCAGTCTGTGTTTATATCACGAACTTTAGCACGTAATAACATTAACAGTGACACACCTCCAGAACTGATAAATATATGTGTTGTCTGTTTAATTTCTAATGAGATCATACTGTGATAGAGTAGATTCCAGCATTGCATAATGCTTATATAATGAACAACGCCATACATCTTTTATTTTGCGGACACGATTAACATTTGTACAAATAACAAATCACGTAATACTGTTACGATTTTAATTATATAAACCGCACGTCTTTAACTTAAAAATCTAACAATACGTCAGTGCATTTGCAACAATATACATATATACATATATATTCTCAATTTTTCTCCTAGAATTTATTTAGATGAATACGAACATATATATGCAACTGCACAATACACACGTACATGCACATTTTTTTAAATTAATTAAAAATAAGATATATATAAGCAAGAATATTATAATATAATTTATATAATTATATAAATATATTATATAATTTTTTATATAAATTAGATAATTTTTTAACTGGTGATATTTGAAGTACCTCATTTTGGAATTATAAATGTTCTCCATATAATCACCACACAACCGCAATATCATCGTCGGTCTCAATGCTAGCCTCAATTTACAGTTATTTTTAGTACTGCATTTATCCATGCACTTCTAGAATCTCACGACAAACAAATCGCCTATTATTATATGAAAAATATGTACTACATGTAATCAGTCTAAATTTGCATGAGAGTAAATTTGTAAGAATTAGTCAGAATTTGTGTAAAATAGCAGTCGATGTGTCAAAAATAGCACATTGCACTTTTCGCGAGAAGTTCATTGAATATCCAACAAAGATATCTTGGCGTTGCCAAGTTAACATTTTCTTGATAGGGTAAATAAATGTTATCTGCTGCGTTGCGCATAAATTTAAAAAATCATAGATAAACTATAAATCGACAAATGAATTATTATGCCAGATAGAAGCTGTATAGTAGATATCCTTTCCAATTAAAAATTTACTAAAACACTAAGGAAACTATTTCGTTTATTTTTGCAAAGAATAAAACTCTTTAAAATATTTTAATTTTGTAATTAAAATTATAGCTAGAACAAAGCCAGTTTTTCACAATTTTTACAAAAATAGAATTACTTAAAATGTATAAAAAAACATATCGACAATTATTAATCTGTTTATTTTAGATATGACGAATATGACAAAGTGATATTTGTATCGTATTAATCATTATATGATATCTGTTAAATTCAATTAAAGTTTTATAATGTTTTTATAAACTTAAATATTTTTATTCTTTGTCTATTTATTCACCAAATTTAATTATTATTATTATGTTGTAAAGATTTCCAGTTTATTTTTTCATATCTGGCTGATATATTAAATATTCGAAATAATTTTACGAAAATCTGAGAAGAATAGTTTCTGGTTTGAAAAAATATCTCAGTATTATACTTATCAGTTTATTTTATTGTAATTAAGATTACTATTGAATCAATTGAGTCCACAATTTTATCATCATTGTATATTTCCGTATGAGACGCGTAATTAGCGTTCATATTTTCTTATCGCAGTTAAAGAACGATAGAGCAATATATCACGATAAATTGGAGCTAATTGATGCTATTATTAAGCGGAATAACAGTTAAAATATCTAATGACTTATATTTGTGAGCACACAGATGTTCTTCATCTGGATATTGTTAAAAATTATAAAATGCCTGATATGTTACAATTGTTGTTATTTTCGTATTATAAAAAAGAAAAATATATTTTAATGTGTGCAGATATGTATGTACGTGCTAGCAGAAGAATTTCGCGATTATATGTCCTAATACAGTCATACTTGCATAAGTAACGTCATCAACATACATCAAACAGCTAATGAATTTATAAACGAAGAACGAAAAGTTATTAATAAATCGTTAATACTTCAATATGTACATATGATTCATTTTCAATGTACATGATTCATTCTTTTACACGATACAAATATTCGAACATTCACGCTTCAAAATCATTTCGAGAAAAAATGTTTTTGAAATTTCTACAATACAAAATGCACACAAAATATTTTACAAAAATTGACTAGATATTTTCAGGCGCGTTGCATCTAACAATAAATCTTTATGCATGATGACTAATAGTCAAATAATTTAAAGATACAGATTTATCAATTGCGATTTAATGTTGCAATAATAATATAGAGTGGCTATATAAGTGATACATTTCCAACTCCTTATAAAAGCTTGCCTCTCGTCATTTAATTAATTATACTGTGGGAACAAAAACAAACACGTTGTACGCGACCCCCAGCAACGCAGCTGTATACTTTAAAGATGAGAAAAACAGACGTTGTGCGTGCACGTGGTCTGCGAGTGCTCCGCGTGTTTTCCATACTGTTCTCTGTGTTCACTTTCCCTTCCACCTTGCCACAAATGCGTCGGCCTGCGGTATAAAAACGAACGCGCGCTGACACAACGGGTTAGTGCGTCTCTGCACGGTGTATGGGATAAACGTGTGTTGGAAATTTTATTTTTTTCTTCCTGTTCTTTCCATTATATCGCAAGTTCGTCTTGCTAAATTAGAAGATTTAAATCTGTTTTAATCGCTTTAAATCGATTTAAATTTGGATTTTAATCGTGCAGATTAAAAATAGCAGTGCTTAATCAAGCGCGATTTTGTGACTCGGCCTAGTGCCAAGATTTTTTGGGTGACTAAACCTTGCAGTGACTTTAAAAAATTATATTTAATTAAGAACTGGTGTTATGCCGGTGGAATTGGAATCGATGGCGCCTATTGCTCACAAAACCATTTCTCATAATGAGTAGGCAATTACAAGATTTTTCTTTTTGCTATTTGCTTTAATTCTTAATTATTTATTTAAGAAGACAATGAATTGTATCAATTATTTGTAAAAATCATAACGCGTGCCGTTAAATTATACAACTAGAAATTTAAGAAACTGTTATTGAATTTTAAGAAATTGTTGTTGAATTATTTATGTAATTATAACAGAAGATTTCTACATTTATTTTTAAAAAATTTTTCATTTATTTTTTATTTATGAAACTTTCATGGTAAACTTTTATTGCAACGAGATTTGATAAAGTAACAAAGTAGTTTCAATAGATTTAATAAATCAGTCGTTCTCCCAAATTAAAAAGCATCGTTTAAATTAAAAATATAAATTTGTAAATTACCTTAATTACATAATATGTAGCTATATTTTAATGAGAATTAGCATCAAAAATCGCTTTTATGTTATTCATTTTGTGCCACATTAACATATCTGTAAAATTTATTTAAATTCACATTTGCTTTTAAGGAAAAATACGATTATATATATATTATGTTTTCTTCTTATACAACCTTTATAAATATTTCATGCGAAAACGTGCTTTCAAGTAATTCCAACTAAAAGAGATTGGAACAGCTGATTCACGCGTCTGATAGGTTTCTTCGTGCCCCAGGCATATTAACACTAATGACGTACTTCCGTCAATTTTAACATCAGCTTCAGATCATTTTCTACGTGATTCGAAAAAACGGAAAATACGTCACTACTAATTTTTCTAAAAATTATTATTTATAAAAATAATTATTTAATTTATTATACAGGTTTATCTTGTTACTAAAGAAATTGCTTCTCAAAACACACAGAAAAAATACACTCTCTCATATCATTAATATATATTCTTTTTTCACATAACTTTCTAATTAAATAATATCTGATTAGAATTTTTATTTAATTCTGATAGACAGCTTAACAAAAAAATGTTATTAAGCTATCTATCAGAGTTAAAGATAATTAGTACAAAATATATTTATTTAGTTTTATACATATGAAACTATTAAGAGAAAATCTTACGCATAAATTTGTAATTGCTAATTTTAATAATTACATGAAAGAAATTTAATTTAATAAAAATAATGCTTACGCTGATGCTTTTCTCGATCTAAATATTTTGTATAGGTAATATTGTAATAAATATATAAATATTTCTTTTAATTTTTTATATTTTGCATGAAATTTTAAAATAAACTTTATAATTACGATTACTTTATTGATGATTATTTGCATTAAAAACGAATGTAATTTTTATGTGCAATATATTATAAAATATTTGATGCACCAAAAAATTTTAATCAGATATTATTTAATTTTTAAGATAATGTCATTTTAAAAAATGCAATAAATAAAACATTCTATAGCAACCTAGTATTCCAAAATGATCGAATTTTAATCACAGTAAATTTTTTATACTATATAAGAATGATTTTTATTAACAATATATAATATTAAAAAAACATTTCGAGATTTATGAAAAATGTTTCAAATTTTCTTCTCATTCTTTAGACGAAATATATATAAGGGAGGAAACCTTATTTCCCTTTTATTATATAGCATGTATAATAATATTATCAGTTAGTAAAAAGTAATTCCAAACAAGTAATTATATAGGAAATAGATTTCTCTTATACAGGTTTTTCCCCATTTCGCATTACAGAGAAAAGATGAATAAGCTGTGCCGTCAACTCTCGATCGAGAGTCCGAGCGTGACCGGTCGGGAATGCGTCTTCAGCTTCGACGTACCCGTGCCGGATGTTCCTGCTCACGGTGCCCGCATCCGAGTGATGTGCGCCGGTGCGTGTTATCATCCCCGTAGGTCATCGAGTCTGACCAGCTTGACCTCGGTCTCGAGCGGCAGCAGCCTGGCCGCCGACATGTCGATGGAGAGCGACTATCCGGTATCCCTGCCGCATCACGGGGTGCGCGATGCCGCCCTGTTCCCCGGCTACGAAGTGGCCGGCGTGATCGAGTCGTTCGGCACCGAGGTGCCCGAGGGTTGCGAACTCGCTGTGGGCGATCGCGTTATCCTCTATCCCTACGACGGTATTCCGAATGGCTACGTCGAATACCTGGTGGTGCACGATCTCAAGTACCTGATCAAAATACCGGATAGTATGTCGCTCAGCGTGGCAGCTATGCTACCAGCTGGTGCTCTCCTCGCTATGAACACCGTCTTTGCTGCACATGAACACGTGCAGGTACGATTAAAATTCTCATATTTTATTATCACTTGTTAAACGTGAGAATAATAAGAAAATCATATTTTTATAATATTAAAAGATCAATAAATTGGCCGTGAGATTGAACAAAGCAAAGGCTCTTTAGAAACAATGATCTGCTCTTTAAAATTTATAATTGATTAAAGAATACTTTTGATCCGATTTGCGCTAAATCTAATAAAATAATTTTCTATTACAAAGAGGAAGCAGAAACTCATAAGTGCAATAATAAAATGTTGCAGGCATTATTGAAAGAGAGAGGTGAGACCAGTGTGTGCAAGATTCTAGTAGTTGGCACGGGTGGTCTTGCCTTGTGGGCCCTCAGAATTGCGTCGTATCACTTCAGCAACATGAGAGACAGAGTCACCACCACGATAGCCACTCTTAAGGATGACGGTCTCCCTTTAGCTCAAGAGTTCCAACGGTAAATTTTATTCGATTGGTTCAATTCACGTGTTAATAGTCTAGTAATTAAGCCAACGCCAATTAACAAATCATAATCAATCAAATTAAGGAAAAAAATTATTTGAGTTTAGCTCAATTCAAAGAGTTTAGCTCAAAGAAATTTAATGCTCCTAGAATGACTTGGTTGCAACATGCTTTAAGCCTTCATATTATCTTATCTGATTTATCTAACAATACCTCGATTACAGAGTGAATGTAGTACAGTGGAACGAAGACCTGTACGAAAAACAGCTGATCGAGCGCACGATGGATGCTTGCGGTGGCCAGGTGGACGTAGTGATCGACTTCGGCACAACCTCGCGCAATCTCCATCGTAGCATGCAGTGCCTCAGCAAAGGCGGCGTGGTATTCGTGATTAAGGAGGTCGCCGATCGATTGTTGCCCAAGTTCAGCCGACTAGCCGAAGATCGGCATCAATCCATCAAACCGGTGGAACTGGGCACCCTGGAACAACTGCAAGAGCTCGTGCAATTGGTCGGCTCCGGTGAGATCGAACCACCACCGCACACTGTCTATCCCGCCGAGGAAGCCCTCGATGTGGTACAAAAGCTTTGTCATTCAGAGATCCAAGGTCGCGCGATTCTCCGCTTCTATCCCGCAGATTAGAAGACTTTTCGCTGAACGATTCTCCGCGATCGCGCGGATTAGGAGACAGATCCGACGACGACGACCGAAGAGTCAAAATGCCGGCTCCGGGTGATGAGAATTGCACAGTTAGTATGATTGAGGCCTGTGCGTTTAAGAATTTTGATATAAAGCTTGACGAGTTGGACTATCGCGAAGAAGTAGTTATTATTTCATACTAACGACCGGAGTTTAGATTAGGCGTCGACAATGCGTACGTCACGCGAGACGATAGTTCGCAGATGTAGAAAGAGAAGAAGGATTATAAGAATAGAGGGGAATTTTTCATGGAGTGAAATTCCAAGAATGAGTTAACTTGAAGAGATTCAGTCTACTATAGATCTCAGAGGAATCAGGCGAGAATTTACAGTACATCATCTTGTTACGCATAGTGACACAGTTGAAAAACGATTTCCCAGTTCTGATCAAATGTTAATTGTTAGCTCTATAAATTATCATGTTATATTAGTAACGACACGAAATACCGCACCAATTGTATTTGACTTTGTTAAGTATTTCGTATCGTTTTTTTTAAAGTTGCTATCATCTTTAAAAAAAGATCTCATCGTATAATATGTGAACCAAAGAGTCTCTTGCGGGAGATTTTTTTTGTCGCTGGAGAGATGAAATAAGGCAGAATACAGCTTTCACTTATCATTGGAAGGACGTCTTTTTAGGCAACGAGCAATTAGTCTTCGTAGATAGGCGAAGATAATTACGCGTGAATCGAACTGTGACACAACAGTTCAGATAACATAAAAAAAAAAAAAACAGTGTGAAGCCAAAAAAAGAGCATTATCAGAAGAGGTGACGCTCTCTATTTCCTGTTAATGAATATATCTGCTGAATATTTGTTTTTTGACGCAAAACAAGATCAAGGATTTACGATTTATATGAGCACGTGATAAAGATGTTGATGAAGCGTGCGGGCGAACAAAATATTCTATCTTTACGGATCTTTAAACTTCAATATGCGTATAAAGTTTCGGCGCTATCGTGCTGGAAATAAATAATGCGCCCGATAAGCTAACTTCAACTTCCGACCTACATTGATACTTATGAGTTTTTTATTAAATACCGACAAAGGATCATTATATTATAGCTAATATGAGTACTTAAAGTCGTTGGTGCCTAGAAATAGCAATAGCAAGGAAGGTTAAATTAGGACGACTTCAAATAATCGTATTAACTATATTATTGTACTACATTACAGCTAATAACGCCGCTATTTAAAGCCGCTGATGTATTTATAAAAATGTCAACAGCATGAGGAAAAGATGAAACAAATATTTTTACTTAAAACTAAAAGAATGACTGTTAGAAAGATTTTTTTACATAAACAAAGTTTCTCTCGTTAGTATCGCTACTACGTGTGCGATTGTTAAAAAAGGTATATATTTCTTGTCGCGCATATACAGAATATGTAATTTCAGACGGAATTTGGTTAATTCTTTGTGAGTCTTTGTTTACATCAAATATGTCATTAAAAAATCAGCCTTGTTAAACTCTATATACGAACATGACAAGAAGAATTATATGTTAATATATGAATTCGATGTAAATAAAGAATCTTAGGATTAGGCAACGCAATTCATCGAGTTAATTATCCGATAAGATCGTGAATCAGCGATCTTTATCTTCAAATGCACTATTTATTTTAAGCGTACTTTTTACAACATTTTCCGCTATTTTAATTATTGTGCAACGTCGCGACATGCATGACGCATCTTGCAATTATTTGAAATATATAAAGTCTACAATTGTTGTTAAAGACGCAATTTTTTGATAATTAACGCATCGACGAACACCCCTAATGCAGTACAAAATACTGCAAGACCCAATAAACAAGTCCGATATTTATGAGCACACTTCAATGCATATTGCAGTGATATCGCAACACAAGATCAAATGTGTATATATTTAGTGTCAATTCAGAAATAATAATCGGAGATGACTGTATAAGCTTAAAATAAGTTTCCGTTAAGATAAACTACGGAGTAAATATTTGCTCTATCGCAAAATGTAATGTGTTATAATGATCCTAAAATGACATAAAACTCGGTAAATAACCGTGTCTACAAAACTAAGAAGTGAGTAATCAGAGCGAAGCTGTTTCTTCGTAAGGTTTAACAAAAACGAAATAATCGTTTCGTAAATAAATCTAGGCTCTATTCCAATATTCTGGATTAGACATTATTAAGATAAATATAATTCTCTACAATATACCTTTTAATTAATGGACGCACTTCATCAGACATTCTCGTATTAAAAATTGAAGTTTATATACGTGCTTGTGCAAGTCAATGACTCGATATCGGCAATATATTTAATTATGCGCAAGTTTTTTTAATCAGAAAACAACTGAATAAGAAATTTAAATTTTAATGCATTGTCTTTTATCATGCCTGATTTTTCCAGTTAATCCCTCTTTCAAGGCCTTTCTAGATCCGCGCAAGATTATCATACCATATGTTAATGCGTTACTTTATGATACATACCATATGTTAATGCGTCACTTTATGCAAACATTTGCGTAAAATGTATATTATTTCGTTAAGATTGTACTCGATACATATTAAGATCATATTTAAATCGTAGTTGTGCAAGAGAGTAGTTATATGCAAGAGTGCATTGCGTTTCGAAAAGTAAAGAACGTACGATGTTAAATGGCGAGTGATACTACATTAATCCGGAGATTTATGCTGAGATCTTGCTGTTAAATCTGCCGACGATTTCGCAAAACTGAACCACGAAATCGCGGAGATTCGAGCTTTTATCATTAACTCGCACAATAAGAGCATAATATAAAAGTTTGTATGTATTTCAACATTTAACTCGCGTGAGACGAGTCAAGTTTCATTAAACATGTATATTCCAAAATATCTCGTCGTTTAGATCAATATTTACTTTTCATTTAATATAGGTAAGTCCAGTAAGTTACAACGCGAGCGTGAATAATGATCGCAATGCAGACGCAAGTCTGCACCTCGAAAGACTGTTTTGTTTATTTCGAATGATATACTTGGTATTCTCTTATTTTGTATATTTAGACGACAGTTTAGTCGTAGCACACGTATCGTGTCACATTATTGTACCTACTGTTAATTGTAATGAATTGTATTAAGGAGATAATATAGCCAATATATTCTCTTTTCTTTTTTAATAATATGCGTTTCATTTCTCTTATTAGAGTAAATATAATCTATATTGAATATTTCAGGCCTTTCGTACGCAACTCAAACTAATAAGATCAAATGATTAAAAGATTATGATCAAAATATATGATGTTCATTGTAATGATTTGCTTAGCTTACTCTTTCAAATAATTTCAAAAGAAACGATATGACAATAGTTTATTATTTATAAATAAATTCCGTGAATATGTATGAATAAATATTAATTACTTTGCATAAATTATAAATATAACGTTTAGTAATTAAAATAACGATACCAACACTGAAATAAAAACAACATAATTAACAACAGTTAATCTTAATTAAAAGACTGATTCGTTTTTTTTTCTTTTTTATAACATTTTTATTAATTTCTTTGTCCTATTCGTATTAGAAATAATAGATCATTCTTGAAAAACTTAACATTTATGTATGCACAAATATACATTAGAAATTATATATAAAAAATCGATAAAAAGATTAATACGATCGAGTGATAAAAATATGATTAGAAACAAATGATCACAATATATGTGTATATCTTGAAAAAATAATTACAATATATGTATATGTATATCTTAAATGATCACAATATATGTATATACCTGTATATCTCTGATGTAGGCTAGTTAAATATATTAAAAGTTGTAAGAAATATTTTATTGGAACACGATTTCGTTTTAAGTGATTACATATGCACATTTTTCTGTGCTAATATCAATTATTAATACAATTGAAAATAATTTAATTATTTATCAACAGCTTAAACCTTCCCAATAATAAAGCATTATGTACATTTTATATACACGCATTAATAATTAAATAGTGATTATTGAAATTGTAGAGTATAAAAATCTTAAAGAATATATAAAGCGTGTATAAATCTAAATACTAACGAGAAATTAAAAAAAAAACTTGAGTATATTTCCACTGATACACCCCGATAGATTATCTTTCTTAAAAATTCGAGACTTGATCATGCTGAATACAGCTTCTTTTTGTACATTTCAGTTAGACAAAAAGATTATATAGACTACTACTGCATTAAAATAAGCTTGATATTAAAAAATAATTTTCTTATAAAACAAAATCAAATCGATATTATATAATCGAGAAAGATGATTGATTTTTCAATTAATCGATTTTTCAGATTAATTATATCATGATCTTATAATGAAAACTATAATACTATAAATGTAAAACTTGTGCCCTAATTTGACTTTCCATTATTATTGCTTTGATTTGGCCGCCGAGCTTAAATAATTCCGTGGAACGTAGCCTTGCTTACCTTCTCGATTCTCTACGAACCACCATTCGTTATTTCCTTTTTCGTCATGAGGCCTAACGAGTCGGAGGGCTTGGCCATTAATAATAGGCAACGTGCCTGGCATGTTTCCAGCAAAATCATACATCGCGTAGTAAAACTAAAAAAAAATTATGTTAGTACAAAAATATTGAAGTGTAATTTGGAGATATATTAGGGCTCCTAGCTCCTCACCGACATGTTGTAACAGCAAGAAAATACACGCTAAAAATTCTTAGATTTCGAAATAAAAATATGTCAAAAGAATGTGTTTTCTTTTATCTCTGACGTCACAATCTAACATGATCGTGGCGAGGACCCAGGAGTCAGGAACGTTAAGATACTAACTTCATTATATACATTTTGATACACTTGAGCTCTCGGCATTTCTGACATGTTGCAATAATTGTGATTCAATTTCGATTCTTCGTCTAATGAAAGCAAATCTTCCAGATGCGACGGAGACGTTTTCCTGATTTCCTTCTCCGGAGAATCCAGCGACATCAAATTTGGAGGACTGGAGCTCTTCCTTCCAGTAGCAGCGACGTCCGTCGCGGTTGGATCAGCTTGGTGCTGATTTTGCCGCTGAACCGGTCTCAGTTTTTGAGAGGGCAGAAATCCTTGAGTGACTCCAGTGTCAACATACCATCTCGCCGCGTTTCCCATCGGATCCTGTTTCTTGATGGCTGCAATTAACGTACCTCTCGCCGCACTTACGTCAAGCGTGGAATTACTGGTAACGTCCTCAATCACTACAAACAATTTGTCTACGGTGTATTTTTCTCTAAGCAGGAATCTCTGCTGTTCCGTTTGCTCGCACAATTGCGATTGGACCTCGTCTGTTCGAGGATTCGTGCCAGCAAATGCGAAACGCGTTAATTGATTCCATATTAAATTATGATTCACGAGAAATGACTCCAGCACATCTTGCGAGGATAGATGCGGCGACGTCTGAAAAAATTAGTTTTTATTCAAACGTACACTCCAATTTAGAATTAAAGATCAAAATTTTATCTATAAATACCTCGCAAAGAGTCAGATATTGCTTAGTAATTTTTCCACTCAATAACTTTCGAGTGTTCGCGAAAGTGCTTATGCAATTAACTAAAATCTTCGCTGCTGCGTCCAATAATATAGGTAATTCCTCGATCAATTGTTGATTCAATGCTTCGTAAATACTCTTAGCAGTAAATAATTCCTCTTGTGTCTGAAATGAAAGGTAAAGTACATCATAAAAGTGAAAAGATGTTTAAAGGAATCTAATATGCGTGTTCGCATTATAACATAAATATAGGTGTCCGCAGGATTTTTTCCAAGAAGATGTATAATTAATTTTTTTGTTCTTAATTTTAAAAATTTTTATATTAAATATGCAAATAAATTTCAATGTTTATTTAAAAGAAGACAAATGTTTAATTTTTTTACTGATTCGAAGATGGGCAAATGCTGCCTGCGGACGCCCATGAACATAAATACTAAATTATGTAAACAATTACAATTTTTGATTCTTTATATTTCTCACTCTTAGAAATAGCAGCATCGTAATCCAGCAACTTATCGTGTCTCTTCGCTACCAGCATCGCCGGTCCTTCTAATAATGTCGCTAAGGAATGCAACGGTGTGCTCACTCTCTTTTCGATACAGGTCTTAAAGTCCTGCATATATTGAGACCAAATTATAGATCTTATGTTTTGTAGTTTCTTCATCTCGGCAGTCGGAGTCTCTTGATAATAATGCACAAGGAATTCGGCTATTACTTCACCAGATATAGCTTCGTCGCTCAAATGTGTGATACATTGCTCAATATCCTTAACTAATTGCCACGTGCATTTCTCTATAGATCGAAATTGCTTCTCAAGTTCCTCAAACTCGGTGTCACTCACGATATTTGTCAAGCCTAGACTCGCCGACAACCTTGTGCTTAGCCTTGTAGACATTTTCGCTACGGAATGCATATTTAATTTCGACATTTTGCTAATTAAAGTATTATCAGTGTCTAAATATTTTGACACGATATCTCTTCTGCGTTTATATTCATTGATATAACTGGCTACATTTGTCATGGCTTTCCATGCTTCTTCTATAGCTGCTTTGTCTGGATGATTATCTTCTGTGCACTGTAAACATTATTTTTATACAAAAATATAATACAATATATCTTCGATAATAAATAAATTATATATATATATATATATATATATATATATATATGTATATTTTTGGAAAATGATAAACTTATTGTTGCTAATCTTGCTAAAATTGATATCAATTTAACATCTTGTCAAAATAATATGTATTTAACTAGATTCAAAATTGGATTTTTATTGCTTTCAAAATTAACTACACTTTCTTATGCTTTATATAATTAATGCAATTACTGACCTTTATTAATTCATATAACATTAATGGGTACTTCAAAATTCTTTGAACTGGTTTTATCAGAATAGAGCTCATATCAAAGCAAGCAACTTGGCGACGTAGTGTCTCAATACCCTTATTAAATATTTTCATGATTTCTTCATTATTTTCATACTGAAACATAAATGAATACAATTTATATAATTTTTATATTATAAGTAGATAGATAAAGCTTAATTAAAAAGAAAAAAATATATTTATTTTATATGTAGAATACCTTTGTTAACAAAGCTAATGCTGCTTCATGATTTCCACAATACTTAACATAAACGCTTTTCAATTTCTCGGACATATTTACAAAGCAAGGTCCAATTGTTTGCAAGCTTTCATCGCAATCTTTCATCGATTTTAAGATCATATCCAATAACTCCTCGGCGACATGAATAACTTCCAAAATATTCCCAAACAACGTAACGACATCAATTCCCTTTGATCCGAGGAAACTCGGATCATGCAAATTAAACGTTTCGTACGTCAACTTCAAGTCGCGAACATATTCCTTCTCTGTTATAACCAACTCCGATATTACATTTTGTCGTTGATCCGCACGTTTTTGCCTTACATTAGCTGTATTACTAATTGCAGCTTCATTTTCTTGAGCAGATGCTTCTATATTTGCAACAGTTTCCTTCTGTAATGGCACTCTACCTGGAGCCGGAGCTGGCGGTGCTGGTCTGTGCGGTTGCGACAATCTCTTTGGCTTTTGCTCTTCAGCTGTTACAACTGCATTCGCTTCCTTATGTCTAACCAGGACGAAATCTTCAAATTCTTCCAAGTTCGATTCCTGTAGACTATCTGACGAATGCTCGGATATCGAACTCAAATATTCTCGTGGACATAAACCGATTAGGCCATTTTTATTCTTCACATTCACCCAATCTTCATTAGCCATTTCCACCACGGTGACAATTTCGTCTTCTTGAACGCTCAAATCACCGTCCATTTGCGCGTCGAAGGTAAACAGTACTTTTACAGTAGCATTCGGTTCCAAAGCATCTTTTTTCGCGGGCACTTCAGATTGAACTTGATCCTGCTTGGTTACCGCACAATCGACTATAATATTGACATAAGATGATGGAAATATCCCTTTAGTAGTATCGATCATACCCTCCATCCATTCAGAATCGATATGTCTGATGAGATGCACCACTTCACCTACTCCGAAACTCAATTCGTTTGGAAATTGCGCATTAAATGGATATAATGTTATGGCATATGGTTTAACATCGATAGAATTCGCATGAATATTGCATTGTACATCTGTTGCATCACTAATTGTTGATAAGGCCTCTGGGAATAGATCAAAGTAGCTTGGAGCAGGTTCGTCAGGCAGATTCATGTAAGAGTTTCCAGTAGAAGTTTCACCAAAATCTTTGTAAATTACACCATCATAAGATGTCGAGGAAGATGCAACATCATTTTGTGTTGTGCATGTAATTTCACTTTGATCAACTGTGTCTTGATCCATATCTATGTATGATATAAATCCTTCTGGAAATATGCCTTTCCTACCATCTTCTGTAACTCCATGACACCAGCCATCATCTAAAATTTCTATAACAGTGACAATTTCGCCCGCTGTTAGGTCCAACTCTTCATCAAGTTGCGCTTTCAGTGTTGTTTTAACCTTTGCTTTTTTTCTTATTAATTTCTTTTTTATTGTTTTCTGCAAAAAGAATATTTCTGATTAATAACATAATTTTTAAAAAATTCTAATAATTAATGGTATAGTTTAACATTGGCACATATGATGTTATGTATAATCTTTTTAAACTACCTTTATTAATGTTGTATCTAGTTCCCACGTATGTGTTGTTGGAAAAATACCATTTTTCCAGCTTGTCCTGCCCATGCACCATCCTGAACCTACATCTCTTACTCCAATTACAAGTTCTCCTAATTCAACGAAAAAAATGTATGATCTAAATTGTTATTTTTATCCATTTATTGCATTCCAAGTTTCTATCAAAGACTAGATTAATCCTAAATTCTTTAGAAAATTTGGGACTTTACAGCACTATAGCACTGACATAGCATATACCTTTAACAATAATTTTACCTCGCGCAAAGGACAGATCTCCAGTCTCCTGTCCAGGAAAGTCAGCTACAGCGACAAACACTCTTTCCGTCTCATCAAACCGAGGAAGTTCCACTTTATGTAAATGACTCGTAGGAAATTTGCCGACTCTGTCCTGAGACTGACCAAGACACCAATGCTTGTCTACGACCTCGTGTATCTGAAATTATCAATGTGACAAGGCATTCTATTATTTTCAGCTGTTTACATCTGTTGGTAGGTTATGCGATAAACGTTCACGCCAAGTACCAGGAAATATTGTCCCTGGGAGAGGCTCAGCTCGCCATCGACGGTGGTAAGGAAATCGTGCAACACCTTCGCCAGCGTCCCCGGCTCCATTTCCGCTGCGACGTAATCGCAGTCGTTGATCCCGCGATACAAGGATTACTACGCTTCATAAGAGGAAGAGGAGGCGCAAACTGGCGCGACCTGTCAGCTGAGCGCGAGTGCACACCGAGAAGTGGCTGTCACGTGGCTCTTGCGTGTATGTGTGTGAGTATCAAGTGTCAAATAATTCGATAGCGATCAGCTGTTTCCGATATAGATTGCCGGTATATTGGCAGTGCTGAAAAAATCATTTTCATAATTTATATTTATGTATTGTCAGTACTGACAGTTTAATAGCCGCATTCACTGCGATCAGCTGATTGAAAAACCGCTATTTTTCTAAATTTTCGCATAATTGGTATTAATATTTAATGATGTGCATTATATGCATTGAGTAATTCTGAACAAGATTGCATTATGTGGGAAAATTGTATTAAATATTAATTATTATATGTGTATATTTCATTAGGAATGAGGTTAGAATGGCTAATATAATATAATTTCGCACAAGTGAATAACATCAACAATTGTGAATGATAGTGTAATTTATCATTGTTTATAATTCTCTAAATTATTATTCCTATATGAATTGTTTATCTTATGTACATAATTGCTATATGCAAAATTAAACAAAATATTAAAGCACATTAAGAAGGTTAAGTGACTTTTATAATAGAATTATACTAATATTGAATATTTTGTGATTCATATAAATTAATAATTGTTACATTAGCTATAGAATCTAATGATAATAATTTTGTACAGGTAAAATGCAGTGCATACGTAAGATTCTAAATATCGCTCAGCATAATTTACAAACGTGTAACAAGGTCAACACAATCTGTAAAAGATCAGGAATATTGCTCCAAGATATTGTTTGTCGTTTCAATCATGATTCCGAAGAATATATATCTGCAGACGAGGAAAAGGATCAGGAAGCATATGCAGTGATCTCCAACCACTATTTAGGTACCGCAATTGGAGGACACAGAGCATTTGTTTTACAGCCGTATATAAAATGGGGTAGAGATAAGAAAAGAAACACTTCGCCGGAGCTACAAATGTCTGAAGCTGTAGCACTCGTGAACACTTTATCTAACTGGTGTGTAGTTGGAGCAAAGTATGCCCCATTGCTTTCATTACAGAGGAAAAGTTTATTAGGTACCGGTGCAATGGAGGACTTGAAGAAAGAATTAACAAAATGCGAACACCCAACTGCCATATTTGTCAGCACTAATCAGCTAAAGTTTGTTCAAATTGGTGAATTGGAAAAAATTCTAGGTTTACCAGTGTATGATCGTTACTCTATAATCATTCATATATTTCGTCAGCATGCAAAAACCTCAGAAGCAAAATTGCAAGTAGCTTTAGCAGAAGTACCATATGTCCGGAAAAAAGTACTTGAAACATGCGTGACTCGTAGTGGTGTAATAAGCATGACAGAAAAGACAAAATTGATGTTTGATAATAGAGAAAAGAAATTAAAAACGAATTGAAAAAGTTGAAACAGCATCGAATAACTATCAGAAGCCAACGTAAGAAGTATGGTTTTCCCACAATTGCTGTAGTTGGTTACACAAATGCGGGAAAAACTTCCTTGATAAAAGCACTTACAGATGACAAAGCCCTTCAACCTAAGAATAAATTATTTGCAACCCTTGACACAACTGCACATGAAGGAATTTTACCCAGCAAATTAAAAGTACTGTACATGGATACTATTGGATTCATTCAAGATGTACCAGAAACTTTGATCGAACCATTTGTTGTAACTCTAGAGGATGCCATGGTTGCTGTAAGTATTACATATATATTTAGAGATCCAGTATTATATTTTAAACGAAAAAGTTTTTAATTTAAACCCTTTTTCTAGGATATTATAGTTCATATATATGACGTCAGTCATCCTGATATGAAAGCACAGTATCAACATGTTCAGCAGACAATAAAACCTATGATAGACGAGGCTCATCCGATAATCGATGTCGCCAATAAATGCGATCTCGTTCAAAGTGATTGCATACCCACAGACGCAATCGCTGTTTCTGCTACGAATTTAACAGGTGTGTTTAAAATTCATTATTATCGCTAAAAGATCAAATAAATGCAATTTATGGAGGATAGCTTCAAAACTATTTAAATATTTACAGGGATCGATTTATTACGCTCGAAAATAGAGAAAGTTCTTTTGGCGACTACTGGACTATTACGTACACGTGTAAGAGTAGAATCGGGTAGTCCTGCGGTTAGCTGGTTTTACAAAATGACGACAGTGACAAACGCTCAACCAGATCCTAATGACGATCAATATTTAATTCTAGAAGTACTTGCTACTTCACTAGATATTCAAAAGTTCAAGAAATTTCTAAGGTAATATAGTATTTTATATTGTACTTTATTTGCAATGTTTCATAAGTATTTATTTATTCATAATATATATCCATTACTTATTTGATAACAAAATCTTAAAGCACATTTTACATTATTTAAAATATTTTAATAGCATGTAAAATTGTTTTTTTGTGCGATTGATCTTATTCATATAATATTGAAAGAATAATTAGACTGTTTCTCATTGGTGAGTAGATTCTCAAAATTGAATAAAATATAATTTCATAAAAAGTGTTTTTTTTTTGTCGTAAAAAATATTTTAAATTCTTATATTGAATATATTATAGAATTTAATATTAAGTAACTTATTATTAATATTAAGTAACTTATAATTATATTATTAATATTAAATAACTTATAATTGTCATGCATACACACACACACACACACATAAATTACAATTTGTGGAAATTTGCAAATCTATTATATTTTAATTAATTAACTATTGAAATTATTATATATAATTGATTATAAAAATGTGTAACAAGAAAATGTGATAAACATATGTTACCATTATTATTCAAACAAGCATAAAAGTTTGCACGTAATTATCGTAAAATTACTTTAAAATATTTTTGTTTAAATAAATAGCTCACACATGTACATATAAAGAAAATACTTAAAAATCTGAGGATATCCTTGAGAGCGGCACTCTGCCAAGAAGTTTTCTATGCTTTTACAGCTTAGCATGTACACGTGCTCCACACATGTTTCCCTATAATCAACGTTTCTGAATGCCAGATGCACGAGACACGAGTTAAAATTTTGACTGAGATATTCGTTACGGTTATTAACGACATTAAAGACTTTATTACAGTATTTAGGTATAAGCAACGCAAGTATAAAGAATGTTTACTGATTCTTTAAACAGTATTTTTTAAAGCTAATTGTAGTAAAAAGAACCAATCATTTTGAATTTCATAATTATATCTATGAACATTATTATTAATTCATTATTTGAAAAGAAGATTCATGAAAACTTTTAATATAAGATAATATAAAAAATGCTTATTTTTAAACATAATATAGATATTTTTTAAAAATTACAATTTTTATAAATTTTTGAATTTAGATGAAGCGCTATATAAAATGTTTATTTTTTAAAAATTCTATACCTTTTAGATTTTTCTATGATTTCTATGATTATAAATTTATGAAAATAAATTTTATTAAGGAAATTTAAGTAAATTTTCCCACTTCATGGCAGAGTAATCGAATCTCTATCATATCACTTTAAATATTATATCTTCTAGCAAAAAAAATTCATTTAACATAAAGGTTTTTTCAACACATGCAGGTTTTTAACAATATTTTTAATAATATATTTATCTTTGTTAAATAGAAGTTAAATCAGATGATGTATGCTCATCATATCTACGGACTCCCAAACATGGAAGAAAAAATATAATGATTTCAAGCAGATGCATGAGATGAAAAGCAACTTGGTGTGTTGAGAGACTCAAGAAAAGGAAAATCTTTCGGAAGAAAATGTGGCCGTGGAAAATCTTTCGGAAGAGAATGTGAAATTTGACAAACGATCAATCCGCGTCTGAATCGCAGCACGAGAAAAATCATCGCTCGGTATTTAATTTTATTTAAATTTTATTGTTGCCGTCTTTTTATTAAGAGTCTCGTTTGTTTGCCTTATCTCTCCGCTCGCGTGTCAGCGATCATCCACTGCGGGAGAAACTTTGCGATGAGGCCGTTATGATGCGATGTATAATTCATAGAGCTCGACAGCTCTTCGTGTACATGAAGTGTCCCGGAAACTTCATATAACGATAGTAAAGTGAAATATGATACATATTTTTCAGAAATTTCCCTTTTGATATAAATATAAAGAATTTATATTGAGAATCTCCTTCCATTCATTCTCACTTTATCTCCCTTTATCATCAAAATTATCAGCGTCAATTTAGTACAATTATCTCATTCGAAATCAAAGGGACGCGAGATAAAAACGAATCAGCTGATTGTCAATGATGTCTTGACGACTGCGCTTTTATGCGGTTGATTTCTCGATCGTAAAACTTCCTAGCGTTCGCTCACACGAGCAACGCGTCATTAATATCCGGTGACGGCGGGACACCCTGTGTATAGCCTTATAAAGTATCCCGCGGAATTAATCGCGTAGCGCGCAGAGGAGAGTCCTGGACCGCGCATCGTCCTTCGGCTCCAGGAATTAATGAAGGATTGATATCGCGATTATGTTGTAGATGTAGCAAGAGCGGTGTACCGTGTGGGCCGATCGGCAGCACGGACCACAGCGATAATTAATTGCAGGCGTGACGGCGCTTTAACGTCGTTAATTTTCATTATCTCGATCGGAATCCGCTTGTAGCGCGGAACCGCCGTCGCTTTGCAGCTCGCTAATTTTGCGCGCGCGTTTGCCTGGTAACCTCGCTTCCGGGAAACGCATTAATAATTCTCTGGGCGAGAAGGGGTTTCGCAAAGAGGGAACTCTTGCAAAATTTGTCACCCGTTCGCGGCTGCGGCGACGTTAACATCGCGGCCAGGATTCGCGGCGCACAAGGATGCGCTTTGTGCGATGCACTCTTGCACTTCTAGATTATTAAAGCGAATTAAGTTAAATCTAATAATCACGATGTTCGGTTGAACGACAAATTTCCATCGCTTGTACTTGCCAAAATACTACTGTCACGTTTGTATGACAAGTGTCACATTCGCGTAATTTTTTATTTTTCGGATATAAAAATTAGCTAATCGTTATCTTAAACCCTCGAGCATAATCGTCAATGTAATCGAATTAAGAATTATTTGTACTTAGCCCAATCATTTTATTTTTTATCAAGTAAACAACAAGTTAATTAGTTAAAACAAAAATGTACCTATATGATTAAGTGATAAAATAATATTAAAATTTTATTTAACTATGCGAATATGTATATTTTTATAGTATATCAATATAAAAAAAAACTTTTTGAACTATCTTGGCAAATTAACTTGAGAATTCTCAGATATCTTATTCATTGACATTAAAAATTTACATGTGTTAACAAAATTTTTATGTCAAATTTTTTTTGCTAAAAATATATATAACACATATTTAAAGCGATATAATATAAATTTGATTATTCTGCCATGAAGTGAGGAAATTTATCTAAAACCTTGATAAATTTTAAAAAGTACAGAATTTAAACAAATAGACATTTTATAGCTTCATCTAGATTCTAAAATTTATAAAAATTATAATTTTAAAAATATCTATATTATATTTTAAAAAATTTCTATATTATCTTATATTTAAAGTTTTCATGGATCTTTTTCTTTTCAAATAACGATGACTCTCTCAATAATAATATTCATAGATATAATTATGAAATTCAAAGCGATTGATGCTTAAAATTAGCTTTAAAAAATACTGTTCAAAGAGTCAATAAACATTCTTTATACTTGTTTTGCTTATCATCGTGAGATCATTTGACTGTGAAATTAATTTAAGAAGAACGAACGAATGGATGTACATTGTATAGTATCTCTTTTCTTATTTCAGAAGAAAAATCCGTTGGAAAAATGGAATAATAATGGAGGTTTATGGTACAATGGTCTATTAGATCGCAGCCATCGGTCAGCGGGGCTGGGCCCGCGTTTACTTAACGCTTTAAACACAAAGCTGTGGCTTAACCGGGGACCTATTGTGCTTGCCCCCGGCAATTAAACCAACGATTGGCTAACGAACGCCGATCGCCTCGTCGAGTGTGCGACTCGTGTAATGTAATGATCGCCGGCGCTGATTTGCTCGCCGTTACAGATTCAATTACGGACCGCGCCATGCGGCATGCCCCGGTATTTCGCACGGCACGACGCAGCACGGCTGAACGTTCCCGAGATCAATGGTGGAAATTAAATTAAACCTAACACCGACAATACATATTACGCGCGCATAAATAACGAAAGTGACACCGCCATCGGCCCAGGCGACCTAACGAGCATAATCCGATACTTGCATTGTTTTGAGGTGTCGAACGATAAGTGGCGAGCTGTGAATCTGTTAAATGAATCGACTTTAAATCAAACGGAGACTGATTTTAATTGAAAATTCAATAATGTAACTTTCAAGTCTCACGTCTGCATTGTTATTTTATTGCGTTGCATATTCATTTTTGCATTTTTCTCTTTGCATTTGTTAAATATTGTAATATATTTTGAGATTATAGAAACTCGTTTTTAGTTTCTGTATCTCTTTCAGAAGAGAAACTGTAGCTTTATTATTTAATTTATTTTAAAAAAATTGTATATAAAACTCTCTTCTCTTATTATAAAGATTTTTCAAATCAATTTTAAATTTAATAATTTATCATTTATAAATAAATATGATTTGAATGTATATATATATATATATATATATATATATATATATATAAGATAATTAAGAAATACCTCTCAGAAGAATGCAAAAAGGAGTATACCATGTATAAACTTTCTTATATCTAACTGTTATATCTACGTATGTATCTGACAGATACAAAAATATGAAGTACAAGTATTTGACTTTTGCAAAGGCAAATCTTCTCCTCAACTGCTTAGGAAAGAGAATGCCCATAAGGCGTTCAATCAGTAAACCAAGGTGGGGCCTGTTTTACGGCCGATATTCGCGACTCGGTTAGTAACTCTCGAGTTTTTAGCGGCTTGACTTCAAAAGGATGCAAAAAAATTTGTACGCGACCGACTCTCTTCTCCTCGTAGGAGAATACCTTCGTGAAACGATGAACGCGATTCCCTCCATCGCGAATTATCCTTCTCCTTTCTGCGTGCGTTTTCCGTTTCTTTCATCTTTCTCTTTCGCGTATCTACTCGTCCAAGAGGTCGAACGTCGAGCAATGTGCGCATTTGCATACGCTTCTCCCTTCCTTTGCGTTCTCATCATTGCGCTTTAACGCGTGTCATCTCGCGCGTGCAGTCATTTATCGCCGAGACTTTATAACGGGTGTCCCTCCACTACGGCTCGTCAATGTTTAATGAGATTCAAAACGAAAACCGATCAGCTATTCGACAGCTATTCAATAATCAATTAAGGACTTGGAATAAGAAATTACGTCTGAGATTCAATTATCTATCATGAATTAATTTCAAGAGTGGAGAAACAGATTGCATTATTTATAGTTGGTAAAATTTTTATGCAAAGTTTAATTATATAAAAATATATATATATATATGAACTAAATATTGATCAATCGCAATAATGGATAAAGCTTTTTGTCATTCGTTAAGAAGAAATTACTTTTAAATTAAGGAATTAATTAATATGAAAGAGAGGAGAAACATATATGTATATAGATATATATTTACATATATTAATAGTTATAAAAAAATGTATATATTCAAAGAATGCGTATATATATATACATATGTATATACATATGTATACATAAGAATAAAACAATTAATATACATATATTTGATCAATTAATATGTGTTGAAAACATTAAAGAAATATTACTATATTAATAGTTATAAAAATGTATATATTCAAAGTAATCAAAGAAGGATATTGAATTGATCAAGTATAAACATTTTCATAAGACTGAATCAAATATACATATATTAATTTTTATATGTATATGTATATAGGTATGTGTGCGCGTGTGTGTGTGCATATTATATTTGCATATTTCTATTTTTTTTTATTTTTATTACATTTATACCGTCCAAATTCAACGTTATACAAACAGAATGTTAAAACATTAAAGAGATATAAATATTCTCGAAGAAAACGTGCAAAAAAAAAAAATTATTTGACATCCTGTTTTTCCAGTATGAATAACCCACCAAATGGAATACCGGGTGATACAAAAACACATACCTGCGTATATCGGGGTGCGTGCCTTCGTAATCACCTTGCATCGACCTTCTCCCTCGACATCGTCCTCGGCGGCGACGAAACATCACGCGCACAACCCTCGGCACCTTTTTACGAGATACATCCCTGTCAGAACCGGCGTGGGAGTGGCATTTCGCACGGTTAGTACGCGCTGGGGGCGAGTCGAGGCGCGCACGACGGCTAGTAACTTTTCATAGGGAAAGAAGGGAGTTAGGTAGAAGCCGGTCGGCGCACGCGCCCAGTGGGGGGGGGTGGGAGGCAACCGGTGGGGGTGAGGGGTGTATCGCGGCCTGGCGAAGCCCAGTCGAGTCCCGTGAGTCCGGGCAAGCACTCCTATCGTAGGTGGCATCGTGGTGGTGGTGGTGGTGGTGGTGAAGGTGGTGGTAGTAGTATTAGGCGTCGTCCGGGACCGAAGAGAGAGAGAGAGAGAGAGAAAGAGAGATTCCTCCGAGAGGGAGGGAGAGAGAGAATCACCACCGTCGTGTCATCGTCATCCATCGTGTCATCGTCATCGCGCGCTCGGTAAAAAGCCTGCCCTGAAAAAAAGGAATAAACAGCCTCGCGTGTCGAAAGAAAGAGAGAGATAGAATTAATTCGAGCGAATGAGTGTGTATGTGAATGAAGAGAGAGAGAGAGAGAATAAGAAGCGGTTCCGAGAACTATCTGTCCGCGGTTGTTATCGTAGCGAGGACGCGCCTACCGGCGCGCAAAGTCTCGAGCTAGCTTCGCCGGCGACGAGAAGACGTCGCGGTAGCGAAGTCGGAGGAGAGGGAGAGGCGCGAGCTGTCACTTCGATCGCCATTTTAGCGCCGAGGAACGGCCGCGTAGGATATACGCACGCCGGGGGCCAGTGCGTGCCGCGATGGATGCGCCCCCTCCTCCTCTCCGCACTTCCTCCTTCCGGGGGAGGGGGAGAGCGCGTGTTAAATTCCGGAGTCAAAAATTGCGCGCGAGTGTAGCTATTCGCAAATTTTTCCTTTTTCACAGTTGGCACAATTGCAGCATTCGACTCGCCTCGCTATTTCGTGTTTCGCGCGTGTCAACGTCGGGGGAAGATTAATTTGACGTTTCGTTTGACAGGTGATTTTTTTGTAACGTCCAGAGTGGCTTATTAATGTGTTATTTTTAGTACGAGTCTCTCTCTTTTTTTCTCTTTGCGCGTGTGTGTGTGAGAAAGAGAGAGTGCAATACTGCATGTTTGGAAATGTGAATGGTAATTAATTTTTTTATTTGTTTATATAATTTATATTTTTGATTCATTCATATAATTAATTTATTTTGATAGAAATAAATAGTAAAAATGTCTATTGCGATAATCGAAATAATATTACGAATATTATAAGATCATTCAGTTTTCGAAATTTCGCGCCGATGACAATAAGAGATTTCAAAGTGCAATACTGCATATTTGGAAATGTGAATAATAATTAATTTTTTTATTTGTTTATATAATTTATATTTTCGATTCATTCATATAATTAATTTATTTCGGTGGAAATAAATAGTAAAAATGTCTATTGCGATAATCGAATTAATATTACGAATATTATAAGATCATTCAGTTTTCGAAATTTCGCGCCGATGACAATAAGAGATTTCAAACGCGGCAACAATTCGCGCGCTTTTCGCGAGCGTGTGGAAACTATAGGTTGGCAGTCGCGGTTGAGTAATTATAAGCGGCCGACTTCACTCGCCATCGAGTTCGGATCGAACGGTCGCGTCGCGATTTCTTTAACCATTTCGTCGTTTTATTTCGTCCGCGCGGATAGTAAAAAAAAAAAAACTTGTGCGATATCGCGAGTAAAGGTTTTCGGAGTAGTTCCACGAAAAAAAAAAAAAAAACGCCGCCTCGGATTCCAATCTCGCGCGAGCGATGCTTCACGGAGGTGCGCGAGAAAAGAGCGTCGAATAAAGAAGGAAATTAGAAGAAGAGACGATAAGAGATCGAGACGTCGGAGTGATAAGACACATGTGAGTAAACGAGAGCGCGCGAGTGGGAGGAGCGAGCGCGTGAGTCAGAATGTAAGGAAGAACGAGAGAGAGAGAGAGAGAGAGAGAGAGAGAGAGAGAGAGAGAGAGAGAGAGAGAGAGAGAGAGAGAGAGAGTACGAAAGAAGCTCGGCGCCATACTGGCTCCCGCAGTTTCTGACACGCACGCATGCCGGCCGGCCGGCTCGCGATGCCGTCCGCGATTCGCGTCGCCAAACAAGACGAAAAAAAATAAGGGAAAAAAAGCGACGCTCCTCTGATCGATCGCGAACACTTTTTTCTTCTAGATGTCAAAGCGCCAATGTCCCCGCGGTTTCGCGCGTCACCTTCGCCACCTGCCCCGCCTCCTAGTGCACGTAAGGGACGAGAGCGGCCGAGAAGAATCGAACAATGATTCTGCGCGATTGAATACTGTCCGGTGAGTGTGTGCGAGACGGATAAATAAACACGGTGAGTGAAAACAGACGGATATATACACACATATATATATATTTCATATATATATATATATATATTTCGGGGAAAAAAGATCGCAAAGTTGTGATGTCGAGAGCCCCGTGACATCGTCGGGCTCCTCTCGTCGTGGTGATATCAAGTGCTTCGCTATATTTGTGCGTTCTTACGCGAGATAGAAAGAGAGAGAGATATCGAGTGCACCGGGATATCGCGAGTGCGCGACGTGATCGAAGAGTCACGAGGCGACCCGGAATAACGATATAATAGCGAGTCCGCCGGCTGTATATGTGAGTGTGTATTCGTTACTCGGAAACACGAGAAACGTGTCGAGAACGGGGGATCCTGAGTGACGTCGGGGGGGGCGCGTGCAGGACCGACTTTGCCCCCCCACCCCCTGCCTCCGCAAACGTCACCCTCGGAGGTTCGGCGTGGTGTCGAGAAGAGGATCGCTCGACGGTTTTGCAACGGTACGGTGAGTGGTGAGTCTCAAAGTACTTTTGTATCTTACGTTTTTTTTTTTTTCGCTTGTTCTCTGTCTAAGAAAGTATCAATTTTCATCCGCACCTACTTTAAAGCCGATGTAACAGACCGGAGCGCACGATGAATAATGTCATTTATCCTTGTGTATTTTGAGGTGTTGTGTAGCGATATAATTGTGGGGGTGAGATGTAAGAACGATACATCAATATTTTTTCACAGGTGGAATCAATAGTCGTGCATTGTTGAACAACACTTTATGATAATTATTAAGTTTATGAAAATTATTAAATTAATTGTAGCTACGTTTTTAGCAACTATACATTTTTCAATATTTTTTCAAAGATGGAATTAATAGTCATTGTTGAATAACATTTTATGATAATTATTAAGTTTATGAAAATTATTAAATTAATTGTAGCTACGTTTTTAGCAACTATACATTTTTCAATATTTTTTCAAAGATGGAATTAATAGTCATTGTTGAATAACACTATATGATAATTATTAAATTTATTTAAATTATTAAACTAATAGTAGGCTACGTTTAGTAGTTGTAAATTTTTTCATCATTTATTAAAACATTGAAAATTGTTGCGTATCATCCTTATCTTGTTTTTATGCATTTATGGATTTTTTAGAAATATGAAAGATAATTAATTAAATCGTACGATAATAGATAAACTTTTTATTTTGAAATTTGTAATGTCAAGTCAATCGTTTAGAAATTAATTCTTGAAGCTGAATATCTTTATCCAAATAATTTTCTTGAATTTAATAATTTATATAAAGTTGAATATATACATATATGCAAATAATTATTTTGTTATTTTATTTAAGAAAAATAACAATCGGCAAAAACATAAGATTTTTCTATAAATTAAGTTAATATTTTAATTTATAATATTGTTATAACTTGCCTTGTTCGTCAAAATAAATGATTAAAATTAGTTTTTTAATTTCTTAAGTCAGGTGAATTAATCCTATGTACAAACTGTACAAATATATGTATAATCTGAGTAAGTACCTAAACTTTTCTCTGTGATATATATTATATTATACAATTTTTGCCAAAGTGTCTAAATCCTTGACTTATTTATTTCTGGTGCGGATGAAAATTTTAAATCTGAAATATATTTGTATAAGTGTAATGTTACTAATTTTAAACAACAAGTTGAAGCTATTATTTGATATGTATTTACCGAATTTAGCTGTAAGGCTAAAGAGATACAAATCAAAGATTTGATATATATTGGGAGGGATTAATTTATCTATTTATAAAATTCTCCATATAGAGAAATCTCATGAATTCTTCTATAGTTTTTGCTGTCGAACATTTTACTGGCACGGTAAACGCGAATTTATCATTGTAATATATGCAAATTGTGTCAGATTCCTTTTCCTGTCTTCACGCAAATGAAGTGTTTTCTAGTCTTCAGGGTTAACCCTTTCGTGCTCATAGAATGAAATATACTCTTCCTACTTATCTTGTCGTAAGCCATGTTCAACGTATGATACTTATCGCAGAGCTCCTTAAGATGTATGTACATAATTTCGCAAATTTATTTCAGTTATAGCTTTTAAAAATACAAATACAGCTTTTCAAAATGTTTAGAATGTTATATTATTAATCTATTTCGAAAAGAGCATTATAATTAATACCAAAAATATTTTATGTACATACATTCATTTGATTATTAAATAATAATTCTCAAATTAAGTAAATAAATAATCATATAGTAAATCTTTATAGTCACATATAGATGATAATGTATTATTAAATTATTATTAATTTTTCAATGATAATTTTTAATAATACATTTATTTTCATGTATAATTGCTATAAGTTTTTTTACAAATTTGTATAAAAAATTAGCTGCCGCATAGCTAAATTTTAACTGTCTATATATTACAATTTAAAATTTAGTTAGCATGACTAAATTTTAGCTGTGGTGACTAGTATTTTTTAGCCTGTATGAAGTTAGCCCCCCATTTTTCGAATTTTAAAATTTTAAAGGTTGTTCCAGGTTGTTCTAGACTTGTTCTAAATTGTTCCAAAAGATCAAATTTAAAAAATAAAAATTTTCGCGAAAAATGGAAAAAAACGATTTTTTGACCTGGCCCCCCATTTTTCGAAAATCGAACTTTTAAAGGTTGTTCCAGATTGTTC